TCTAACTTTAATCTTCTTGGGTAAATTTGTCGCCATAGCGAAGTATATGAATATCCAATCTAGTTTAAACCAATCAAAACCGAACCAGAACCCGTAAAAAGTTGATCCAAAACTTAAACCGAGAACAATGTTAACCGATTCCATACCAAACCAATCGAACCTGAACTATAGTAAGTAAACCGATTAAATCCTTATTTTTATTGAAAACTTTTTATATATTTTCTCAGAAAATGAATCCAAATTGTAACCGAAAACTTTTTATATAGGCTACTCGTTTTCTATATATATAAAAAACCAAAAAATTGAAATGGAAACCGAACCAAAATAGTGCAATTAAGTATATTTTATGTGAGTAGCAGTCAAGTTACGTCTTCTTATGAGTTGACCAAGTGTGTTTTGAAGCTATAATTCCAGTGGAAGCTACTTTTGTTCTATAGTTACTATTTTGTTTGATTTGCTTTCATGTAATTCTCGAACTTGGTTTGTCTAAAAAAGCTTAATTATGAACAACAGACCAGGTAATGGAACCTTTCTTAGTGTTCTTGTTTGGTTTTAAATCCTCAAGAGTCTTGGTGTGTTCTTGTTTGTTTATGTAGGACTGATTAATGCAGATGAAGCGAGTTGTGGTGGCTCGCCTAGTTGGAGAATCAAGAAGAGCCTAACATGTGTGTGCTTTAACCGCAAGAGAGCTTATGAACGCATCTCCTCTAACTTGACACCATTGCAGGTAACACACACATCTAGAAAGCAACAGCTTCATTAATTGGCTTTAATGCAAGCAATTTTTTTCTGAGTCTTAATTGTTTCTTTCAGGAAGAAAGACTGAAGAGGTTGAGGAAGAGAATGAAGAATTACTTTGACGCGTCGCGGCCTGACCATCAGGATGCATTGAGAGCACTGTGGTCAGCAACGTATCCGGGTGAAAAGCTTCAGGCTTTGATCTCAGACCAGTGGAAAGATATGGGATGGCAAGGAAGAGATCCATCCACTGATTTCAGGTTGAAATCCCTCTGTTTCTATCTCGCTCGTGTAATACAACATTTGAAGTAGTTCTTAGTTTGGTTTTTGTTACTGTTTGTTATCAGAGGAGCTGGATTCATATCATTGGAAAATCTTCTATTCTTTGCCAAGACATTCTCGGTGAACTTAACTCTCACCACTTTCTACTTTGAGAACATTCATAACTCTCTTTTATGTAACTTCCCAGTTCCATTGGTGTAGACTTCTTTTCAGCGTCTGTTGAAGAAACAAGGAGGCAAAAGAGCGGCTTGGGAATATCCCTTTGCTGTAGCTGGCGTCAACATCAGTGAGAGCCGGCCCTGAGCACAAGCAAGTATTATGTACCGAAAAGCAAATAGTCCAGTGGTAGGGGCCATTTTTAAAGGAGGTGAGGTGAAAAGATCGATTCTAGGCTCCAACTTCAGCAATATTTTTTTGTTTTTTCTTTAATTTTGTAGTCTTACCAATCAAATTCTTGTTGTTACTTTAGGATTTAGACAATATCAAAGAAGAAAACACAAAAAGGTCGATTTTGTTTTAGGAATATTTGGCCTGCGAGATGAGTGAACAAGTTTGATATAAACCATTGTGAGAAAATAGTTGTTAAGCTGATATAATTAGTATATTCGTGTCGTTAACTTAAACCAATCTTTCTTTCTTTTTTGGTCAAACTAAACCAATCATATAGTACAAAACACAAACGAAAGTAGTCGATGGATGTTCATCAAAAACAAATAAATCTAGTCGATTAGAGATGAAATATTATTTGCTAATCAATAATTTTTCGAAGATAATAGAGGATTCATTTTTACTAGTTCGCCTTAGCCGCATTTCTCTCCCAAGCACAAAAATCGAAGCAATCAATCCAAACTAGATGTCCGATGTCGGTGAAGCCGTGGCTCGCCGGCGTCGGACCGTCGCTCTTACTACTAGTTTCCTCTGTCATTGGTCGAATGTTATGGCTGTGTTGGCTTTGATATTTTTCTACTCCGGCCATCATATGAAGAGGAAAACCATGACAGTTGGACCTGGTGCGTCTCTACTTTGCTTTGCCGGTGAGTTAGGCCTTCGGCAACCGTTGTTGGTCTTCTTCTTATCTTTGGTTCGGATACTTTCTCGGTGATAAACCGAAGACCTTTCACCATGGGCGATGTCAATCTTCAACCTTTGTTGATTGCAACCACATCTACACCTCTCCAAATTACTATCGCCTTCTCTATATTGTGCTCTGTCTTGAGCTTCATATCAGAAAATATGGAGAAGACGATTTTTTCAATCTATGCTCTGCCGTCGGCTCTCAACTCACCATCGAACATATTCCTGCACGGCGAAAGCATCAATCAAGATCCGGTGGATCTAGAAATTTCTCGGGTGTTCCCCGAAGAACCATCTTCTCCAATGTGGTTTTAATCCACGCCGGCAATAGTTTATGCCCACCGGAGCTTATGCCATCACCAGGAATCCTTCGCACACAATCTCCAAACATGAGAAATACGAGGTTTGACCTGGCTCCGACATCGAGTGCGCCTCCATCATCCTCACCGTCGATTCATCTCCCCGACTTTCTGCTCCTCCTCCCTAGCCCCAACAACCCGATGACCTACTTCCCTTTGGGCCCAAATCACAAATGGGCCTGGCCCAATCAAAATGAAGAGTTGCCCAACCCATTTCGTGGCCCTTCCTCTAATCTTTGCCTAGGCCCAATAGTTTTAAAAATCAGATTTGCAAAAATCATATATGTTTTTGAGCTTATTGGCTTCTCTTCTCTGAGAAGTCTTAAGTTTTTTGGATTCTCAAATCCTGTAATTTACTCCTGGTGGAAGAGTTCTTTTCCACCTTCTTCCAACTCTTTGAGACTGGTCGTATTTTCTTATCTCTCTTGGAGAGTAATAGATGTCCCGAGCTTTATGTCGAGTTTTTCAAAGTCACATTGTAAAGTGACTAACCTGAGATTCTCCGGCTTTGTCGCGAAGACCCTCTTGACGCATCCGACACTTGTCTAGGATCCGCTGTCCATCTCTTGGATGATCTATCTACTCTATGTTGTGTTGCATTTGAATTATGTTGTAGTAATATTGGAGGATGCTCAATTCCTTTCTTTTGTACTTTGATCGGTTAAATGAATGAAGGAAGTTGTTTAACCAAAAAAAAAAAATCAATAATTTTTCATTTCTTGGTCAATGAGTGATTGTAACAATGAAATTCATATTCTCTGAAAGTGAGAATCTGATTAGTGGTAACCGTACTTGCAAATGTCTATGGTCTTAGAATTAAGAATTCTTTTAACAACATTAAACTATCAATGCAATGAAAGTATACCAAATCTCGTATCATATTTTGTGGTCTATTGGTTCATGATTCATATGTGAATCGAGGTTAAAGTTCGAATCTTCACCCTACAATTTCAATCATAGTTTGCTAGTTTTAAATGATTAAAATGAAAACATTGTGGTTTAAAAAAAAAAACAATTTTAACATGTAAAAACGGTTGCAAACTTAAATTACAAAACAAACTATATAAAAGAACAAGAAAACATTATATATGGAAAAAAAAGAGTAGTCGATTAGAGATGAAATATTATTTGTTGATCAATAACTTTTCATTTCTTGCTCAGTGCATAGCCAGTTTTGAATGATTGTATAAATGAAGTTCCTAATAATATGATCTATCAAAGTGAAAATCTGATCAGTGGTAATTGTTTTGCAACAACTCGTATATTATGTGTGTTTATTTTATTTTTTTTTGGAAAAAAATCGTATTATGATAGAAATAATTCTTCTAACAACATTGAATTATCAATGTAATGAAAATATACAAAATCTCGTTTCTTATTTTTTGGTATAGTACTGTAAGATGACTCATATATGGATGGACGCTATGCCATTTCAATTATAGTTTGCTAGTTTTGAATGGTTTAATATAAAATAATTTTGATTTAGAAAAAAAGAAATTTAAGTTTTAACATGTAAAAATGTTTGCAAACTTAAATTACAACAAAAAATTATATAAAAAGAGAAGAAAACATGTTCTATGGTTTAACATTGGTCATCCTTCTTACTTAATGTAACAACACAAGAGTAAATTCGTCACACTATCGTTGTTACGTCTCCAACATGCTATATAGATTTCTTTATTTACGCCATTTATAATTATGGAGGCTATACGAATGTCGGGGGCTTATTTTATTTGCATCAGTCTTCACTCTTCACAAGTTTGAAGGTATCTTATAATTCCCCAAACAAAAATTAAAACACAAAAATGCATAAAGTAGGGCCCACTCAGCGGAACAAACTTGGTAGCGTTTGTTCGTGACAATTTTTTAGCCTATGGGACGTTAGATACATTTTGTCGATATTACCCCTACTATCATCGGTAAATACCAACTTTACCCCTATATATATCATTCTCCGTTTTGTCCTATTCTCTCTACAAACTTCATACTCGCTCCCTCAGAGACTCTCACACTACCATTTCCATTTCTTTTCAAATTTTTTCAAAATTCCTCTTCTCTCRTCTCTCTTTTTCTCTGAGATTACTGCGACGACGGTGAGATTACTGAGATTTCTTCGTTTCGTACCTCTGCAAAAATGGTGAGAAGAAGAAGACTCCGATCATCGATTTCTCTTCTCCGTCTTCCTCTCTTAGCCTGGGGATAGTTTTCGCTCCGTTCCTTATCTCGAAATCTGATTTAGTAGTGTTGGTTTTTCTTTTTTTCTCCCTCAGGTAGTCGCTCAGAAGCTTAAGGAAGCTGAGATCACCGAACAGGACTCGCTCCTTCTGGTAAGCAACAACGCCATCATCGAGCTTTGTTTCTTAAGGATTCGTTAAATTTCTCCTTCCTTCCTGGTGATTTTCCCAGATATTGGTCTGGATTAGTTTGAGTTTATCATCGGGAGATGGATTTCCTCTTTTGATTCTCGTAGATTGTGAAATTTCTAAGGAATCGTGAACCGCTTCTTCGTTTAGTTGGATCTGTAGCTCTTTTACACTGACGTGTTTGTTTTGGTCTTCGTTTTGTTGAATCAGACTAGGAATCTGCTCCGAATTGCTATCTTCAACATCAGCTACATTCGGGGACTCTTTCCTGACAAGTATTTCAACGATAAATCGGTTCCTGCTTTGGGTAAGCCGCTAATCTGGAAGTTTCTAGACCTAATCGCTTCTTTCATGTTTTTGTTTCTAATGCGCGTTTGAAACAAATGATAGATATGAAGATTAAGAAGRTAATGCCTATGGACGCTGAATCACGCCGATTAATTGACTGGATGGAGAAAGGTTTTCTARACCCATGATTTGGGCATTTACACGCTTTCCTTTCAGCATTTATCTCTGATCATTGTTTCTTCATCATGGAATCTAGGTGTCTACGATGCGCTACAGAGGAAATACTTYAAGACGCTCATGTTCTGCATTTGTGAAACAGTAGATGGTCCAATGATTGAGGAATACGCTTGTAAGTTCTTGCGAGATGATTGATTAGCATTGATAAAAGTGTTGTTCTCTGGTGGATTATCTGATTAATTGATACATCTCCCTTCCCTGGTTATATATCTCCATTGTTTATTMTGATGAAGAGCTTGTGTTACTGCAGTTTCCTTCAGCTATTCAGATTCTGACAGCCAAGATGTCATGATGAACGTCAATCGTACTGGAAATAAGAAACATGGAGGAACTTTCAACGCCACTGCTGACATTACACCAAATCAAATGAGGTATGTACACTATTGAGATATATCTTTGCTACATTGAGGTCTATATGGGTTTTTTCTCTTCCATAACATGTTTTATAATTTCATGAAATCAGGAGTTCAGCTTGCAAAATGGTTCGTACACTTGTTCAGTTGATGAGAACTCTCGACAAAATGCCAGATGAGGTAATGAATATTTTAARTACCCTTCAGGGGTATTTCAATTTTCATGAGTTTCCAGATTACTGATTACAGAGATTATTACTTTTTMRTTTTMCTACAGCGTACCATAGTGATGAAGCTTATGTACTACGATGATGTGACGGTATGGTTATAGCCTTCCTAAATTCCTCTGAACCTTGCTATAATTGTTATGATCTTGATGCAGCTTGAATAGAGCTTCCTTTGTCTAATAAGCATTCAAATTTGCGCTTGAGAATTTCCTAGTTTACTGATTAGTTCTACACACTTGTTATACATACAAGTAGCTTTGAGTTTGTTGTGTTCACATATAAGGTTTTTCTTTCTTTTGATAATGCCAATGATGTTCATGTTATCTCACTTTGCTCCGCTCTGCCAAAATTGAATGCTCAGAAGAAAGACCGACAAGCTGTTTTTTGAACCTTTTTGCAGGCACCAGATTACGAGCCACCTTTCTTCAGAGGCTGTACAGAAGAAGAAGCTCAGTATGTATGGACAAAGAATCCTCTGAGAATGGAAATTGGGAACGTTAATAGCAAACATCTTGTGTTAACGCTAAAGGTAATGCGATTGAAGAATATGCAACTCGCTGAGACATATATCTTGTCTAATGATGTCAATCCATTGTGGATGATCTGTGTAGGTCAAGAGCGTGCTTGATCCTTGTGAGGATGAAAATGATGACATGCAAGATGATGCTAAGAGTACAGGACCCGATTCTGTACATGATGACCAAACTTCTGATTCAGATAGCGAGGTTAACAAAGTCTTTATTTCCTCATATGCAATATACTTGGTCTTTACATCCTACATGCATTAGACTCTGATGTGCCAGTAACATAATGTTCATTGTTGTTTCCAGATAAGTCAAACACAAGAAAACCAATTCATTGTGGCGCCAGTAGGTAATGATGACTAACAACAAATCATAGTATGCTATGCTAGTCTAGTAAAGATTTCACTAAACTGAGTAAACTTGATTATCTAACAGAGAAACAAGATAATGATGATGGAGAGGTCGATGAAGGTAAATAGTTATACCAAATATTAGCGCAAAGTTTGACTTCACGGAATAACGAAAGTTTCATCTAATTTCACCTGTCTGTGGGATGCTTCAAGATAACACACAGCATCCGGTTGAAAATGAACAGCAGTTAGCAATGGTGAAGGACTGGATCAACTCTCGTCACCTTGATACTGTGGAGCTCACAGATATTCTTTCAAACTTCCCAGATATCTCAGTAGTAATGAGTTTTTCCTCTTAATTTACACCTTAGAAAGTGTAACTGAGTTCTTGCATATTTAGTTTCTTGCCGTTTCTGAAATCTAAGCCACTCATTTTTTTGTTATCGCAGGTTCTATGTGAAGGTAAATCAAGGCTTGATGATAGTCACTACGAAAAAGCGCCTTTGAAGCATCATATAATGATGAAATCTACAGTTTACTATAATTACTACATACTGTTAACTTCAGAGACTATCTTCCTCCACTAACTGATTGCATCCTAACTTTCAGAAATCATGGATCAGCTCGAGAGAGAAGGCGTTCTTTCGAAAACAGGGAAGGACACATACATTATAAACAGAGATAAGGTATATAGTTCATCTGATTCGAATGATTTGATGTATTTGACAATCATCTAAACCCCAAAGTATCAGCAGATACCAGGGAGCGAATTCACCTTTGTGAAAGATGAAACGGATGGTCAAACTGCTCCACAGGATGGGAAACCTATAGCTCCTGAAGACTACATGTACATGAAAGTGAGAGACTCTGACTTATACTCTTATCTTCTAATACACAGGCAGAAAGTATAGATAGATAAAGATGTACCTTAGATAAATCATTATTAACACATGGTTTTTTGTTAGGCTCTGTACCATTCTCTTCCTATGAAATATGTGACCATTACAAAGCTTCACAACATGCTGGATGGTGAAGCCAACCAGTCTGCTGTTCGTAAGTTAATGGACAGAATGACCCAAGAGGGCTACGTGGAAGCTTCTAGCAACCGCAGGCTAGGTTTGCTGCCTCAAACTCAGACCCTTCTCTTTTAAGTTTTGGTTGTTTCATTGATGCAATGTGTATATATACAGGGAAGCGTGTGATTCATTCTAGTCTTACTGAGAGGAAACTAAATGAAGTCAGAAAAGCTCTTGCCACAGACGATATGGTAATTCCTCACATTTCTAAACTTAAAAGAGTAAATCCTTGGAACGAATTTCTAATGTGAATGGTTTGACAGGATGTGGATGTTAATGAAGCTACGGACAAAACCAACGGTTTAGAGGCCAAAGCAACCGCAGGTACAATCCTGTTTGCACCAAAGTTTTGAGCTAGGTTAATCGAACTGATGTCCACACAAAAAC